CTGCAATAGGTGGCACAGGTCGGCATCCAGATGGGTCTTTAGTATCTCCAGAGAAAGAGACTCCACCACCTCTATGGGCAACCTGGTCCAGTGCTCCATCATCCTTATCATAAAGTTCTTCCACACGTTAGTATAGAACTTCCTATGTTCATGTTTTAGACCATTATTCCTTATAGCTACAAAACACTGAGAAGAGCCTCATCCATTTGCCTCCCACCTCCCTTTAGATATTTATAAACATTAATTAGATCACCTCTCAGTCTTCTTTTCCCCAGGCTGAACAGACCCAGATTTCTCAGTCTTTCTCATAAGGGAGATGCTCCAGGTCCTTCATCATCCCTGTGGCCCTCCACTGGACTCCTTCTATGAAATCCTTGTCTTTTTTGAATTGGAGAGCCCATAACTGGACACAGAATTCTAAATGTGACCTCACAGAGAAGAGGAGGAGGATCACTTCCCTTGACATGCTGGCCATGGTCTTTTTAATACACCCCAGGATACCACTGGCTTTCTTGGCAACAATTGCATATTGCTGGCTCATGGCCATCTTGTTGTTCATCAGGATCCCCATGTCCTCCTCCACAGAGAATGTTGAATGGTAGCACTTCTGGTGTGCTAGCCAATCCTCCCAGCTTTGTATCATCAGCAAACTTGCTGAGGGTTTGTTCATCCAGCTCATCAAGAGGTGTTGAACAAGACTGGGCCCAACACTGACTCTGGGGAACACCTCTGGTTACACGCCACCAATCAGACTCTGCATCACTGATGACTGATGACCACCCTCTGAGCATTTCCAGTCAGCCAGTTCTCAACCCACCTCACCATCCACTCATCTATCCCACATTTCCTCAGTTTTGTAAAGAGGATTTTCTGGGATATAGTGCCTAACACCTTGCAGAAGCCAAGGTATGCAACATCCACTGCTCTCCTCCCATCTACCCAGTCTGTGATGGCCTCCTAGAAGACCATGGCTATTTCCAAATTAACATATGGAATTTTGAATCTTCTGATTTAAAGATTGCTTTGCTAACAAGGCTGACCATGATACTCTACCTGCTAATTGCCGCACCATCTCTGCATATCAGATTGTAACTATTTTGTTGAAGTATGTTTTTTCTCTCTAAAAACTGGCGCATGTGTAGGATTGATAACTGTGCTGTTGTGTGGATGCCACCTTAATGTACTGAAGGTAGTAGTCCAATGCCTGTTGTGCTGTTGTCCATTCAGAAAGGCCATTCTCTGACAGTCACCTATTAAATCTGCATTTTTGCTACTGCTTGGCACAAGTCAGAAACACTGGTTGTATTTTCAGGCACTGTGTTTTCCTGGGGAAGTGGATACTCTTTTGGAAAGCATACACCCTGCAATCACGCTATGCAGTTTAAGCCCCAAAGGCTGTGCTTTGCTGAATTGAGACAAATCATTTCACCCTTGCAGACAGAAGTCTTTCTTCTCATCATTTACATGAGGACAAAAAATCGTCTGCTCTTAGAAGTGTATGAGTTCAGCATCACACCTCCACTGCACCGCACACTGCAGACTACTCGTGGGCTATAGTGAGACCCACACAAGCCTCCAAAATCAGGGCAAGATCACTCTTCACCCACCTTCACTCTTGTATATGATAATAACAAAATTTCATCTACATTATATTCACTCTTCCTTGGTCTTCTTGAAAGGAAAGAATGCTTTTCTACTCATTTCTCTCACTACCAAGTGAAATACACTGAATTGTGTTTATGCAGAATTATTAACCTTGTTGTTACACAGTTTTGCTTGTACTCTCCTTGCTTTCTCACCTTAGGGAGTTCTTCTTGTCATTACTTTTTGCCTTGCACTGTTTATTCTGCATCTCCACATTTCCTCTCCTTCCACCATTTCCTCCTCTTTTTAATCCAGCTTCACATTCCAGTATTTCGTCTGCATTTTCCTGATGTCTTAGAATCATACAATCATCAAGGTTGGAAAAGACTTCTGAGATCTAGTCCAACCCCAGCCCACCCCCACCATGCCACTAAATCATGTCCCTCAGTGCCACATATATCCTTTTCTTGGAGACCTCCAGGGATGGTGACTCCACCACCTCCATGGGCAGCCTGTTCCAATACCTCACCACTCTTTCTGTGAAGAAATTTTTCCTAAGATCCAACCTGAACCTCACCTGGGGCAGCTTAAAGCCTTTACTTCTTTCCCTACATTTTGTCTTCTCATGGTGATCCTCTCTGCTCTAGAGGAAGCAGAACAAAAGGCATCTCTGCAGGAAGGATTTATAGGCATGATCTGAAGAAATGATGGTTCCATCAATGCCTTCAGGATTCATTAAAGAGTGGTAGGAATGATAGATCTGAAAGATCATTAGATTGGAAATGTGATTTTCTTACTCTGGATGAAGAACATGAGCATCTCTATTTCCTTGTTCAATTTTATGTTCCATCTGTCTAAATCAACCAAATTCAGTGCTAGGTATGAATTAGGTTTAAAAAAACCCAACAAATTATAGGACTAGGAGGGTTGATAAGAGGTCACCCTTCCATGCTGCAACAGGATTAAATAAATCTTGGCTGCTACTACTACAAGTTTGTGTAACATCTCAGAAGCTTCTTAGCATGCAATCCTCTGCCCTTGAAAGCAATCTGCATGTGAGCTGTCCTATACATCCTATTGAAAGCTATGTTTGCTTGTCCTTTCCTAGTAGCTAACATACTTCTCCCTTGCTGAAAAGTAAGACTCTTACCTTTTCTTTGCCTGCCAGGCACACAAAGAGCAATGGATAAACATTCTCTACATTTCGACCTCACAGACACTTGAAGGTGACTACAACACGTTGACATAGGTCCCAATTACTTCACTGTTCCTTTTATCAACTATGATTTTTCAGCTCCTTTCTTTGCTCTGTGCTGTCTCGTTGTCTGCCTCCCTGCTAAGCAGCAGTGCCAGACATGGTTCTGTTACTGGAGTGTCCTCCCTACGTGGTTCTAATTTCCTCCAGGGCCTTGTGGAAATTATGGTGTTGAAGAAGCCCATGAAAACCATGTACATTGTTTGCAGCAGCGTCACAAGGTTTACCTGCAGAATAAAGTGACTGTAAAATCTCTTTCTCCACATGAATTCCCTGTGGGGACTCTGTAGGCTGACATTAAGTGCAAGTGCCTTGCTTCAAGAGTAAAACTGTGAGCTAACAAGGTATGATGCAGTTAAACAAAGTCCTACCTTTTTGTGCTTACAGGTAGGCTTCTACCTGTCAGCAGGATATCTTAACTTAGCCATTCTAGACAAAAGCAACTAAAAAAAGCTGTCTATAAGTACTGAATCGTAGAATCATAGAATGGCTTAGATTGGAGGGGACCTTGAAGATAATCTTGTTCTAACCTCCTGCCATGGGCAGTTGCAAACCACTGGATCAGGCTGCCTAGGATCCCATCCAACCTGGCCTTGAATGCCTTCAGAAATGGGATATCCACATCCTCTCTGGACAGCATTTTCCAGCACATCACCATCCTATGAGTAAAAAATTTCTTCATCATATCTAACCTAAGCCTCCTATCTTTTAGTTTGAAACCATTCCCTCTTGTCCTACCACTGTCAAATCGTACAAAAAGTCTGTTCTCCTTCTTCTTGTAAGTTTCCTTGAAGCTGAAGCTCCCAAGGGAACCCCAACTCACCTCTGGAGGCTCATTCCAGAGGGCAGGATCTTTCCTCATACTCTGTGTTTTGTCTGCCAGCCCAACCTGGAAGACTTCTAAACAATCTGAGACATTATTAGGCACTTACCTATAGTGAACAGAGTTGAGACCTGGTACCTGGTATAGGATGAGCTAAATTACTCACCAAAAGTCACTGACTACATTGACTAAGAGTCCATGGAGGTCTTTTTGTCACTCTCATCCCCTACCTGCTGCTCTCTTTCTGCTCTATTAAATACATTGATTGTTTCTCCACTGAGCATCCAAGGCTCAGCTCAGTTATTCATACTCAAGTGTTGAGCATGGTTTCATATTCCTCTGGATGTTCTTCCATCCAGGAAAAAGTGCATTCTTTTTGTTTGCACAGAAAGATAATATTCTCCTTCCAAGAAGTATGTCAGTTCCAGAGAGCTGTTTATGATGCTGAAGCTGTGTTCATTCCCTTGGCACAACTGACTGGGTAAGCAGGTAGATCTCAAAGAAGCAGCAATGGTACTTTCATCACTATTACACTAACTCAGAAGTGCAATAAGCTGTCAACTTAGGCTATGAAGTTAATTTAATTTTTTTTTTTTGAAGTTAAATCATTATAATTTAAATGAAATGAAAAATTCATGATCTACCGGGAAGAGGTTGTTGAATATCTGTAGAAATATATTTCCACAACTGGAGAAGTTGAAGTTGCAAACTTCACAATGGCAATGGAGCATAATAGTAGAGCTAGCAATGTGTCGGACTTCAGTGCATCAGGTGGCACCACACAGACATTTGATTACTTTGTCTTTTCCCAGGGGGATAGGGGAGAGAATTGAAAGAAAAAAAAAAAAAAAAACAAGACAGAACTCGTGGGGTGAGATAAAACTATTTACTAAGATAGATAAAATGAAAATAATTACAATTATGACATACATATATATATATATTCTAGCACTCTGAAGAGCAGAAGAGAGAGAGATGGACTCCCATCTCCCTTCAAAACACTCATTCCATATGGTATCATATGGCCTGGAATATTCCTTTGGCCAGTTAAAGTCATGTCTTTCTTCTGTCTTCTCCAAGCAACTTGTCCCCTCCACCCCTACACCACAGCTCTTCCTGAGTAGGAACTGAGAAACAGGAATGTCCTTGGCTCTGTACAACACTGCTTACAAAGAACTAAAAACATCAGTGCGTTATCAACATTGTTTTTCTCCTAAAACCAAAACAATGCATCAGAAGTGACACTATGAAGAAAAAATCCTCTGTTCCAACTTGGAAAATGCAATGGTTTATGCTTCCTCATATTCACCAGGTAAATTGTCTTTTTTGACCAACCAGTGTTGGATGTTTCTTGTCATCTTCTCCTTTAGATGTTTACGTAGCAACTGTTTTAATTGTTCTATTTTCTTTCCAAGAAACAAAGTTAGGCTGGCTCATAAGTAATTCGTTTTTCTCTCTATGATGTTTGCTCTTCTTTGCTCTTCTGGTACTATCTTCCAACAGTAAAACAGTTACTAGTGGTTGTTCCTGTTGTATCTTATGGCATATTTCATCGGTCTCTGGAGACTTGCACCTAACTGCTGTTTTTCTTGCTCCACAGCTTCTGCTCTGAACAGTTTTTTTCTTTTATTCCCACACCTAACTTATTCAAATATTATTTAAATCATGCTGATCTGCTCTCTTCTCTATGCACCATTAGTTACAATTAAATTGATAACCTGGTTGAAGTCCTTGTTTTTTTCCTTTTTTTTTCTTTTTCTTCAGTCAGGCTGAAGCAAAAAGGCACTGTAGCAAGCAAGAAAGACAAAGCCATCACACAGATAAAGCATTCCAGGTACGTAGCTTAGGAGTTACATAGCAACAGCTGGCCATGAATTACAGGGAGGAATTATCCAGAATTGAGATTGCTCCATTCAGCTAGAAAGTGGTACTCCTCTGAAGCTAAAAATGACATAAAAATCAAAGGGGGCCTAAAATTTTAACTGTGCTTGAAAGGAAAGGAGGGGTTTGAGTAAGTGAGGCTAATGTGAGATAGTGAAAGGCTGACAGCCTGCTTGTCTCACAGGAAGGCAGGAGACAAAGATATGGTGACAGACTGAGATGTTTCTAACTCTAAAGGATGAAAGGATGCAAATTTATGAAGATACACTTAATATTCATGCATTTAACTCGAGAGTGGTTGTTAGACATTGCTCTGGAAGCTTTGTACCTTACAATAAGAAAATAATGCCGTCTGCAGAAGGCAGTTGCATATGTCGTTGCAGATATACGCAGCTACAGGCAGCTGAAAGGGAATTTTGCAGGGTCCAGGTGCCTGATGAATCTATTCAAGCAGAGAAGATGGGACCTTGTAGGTGCAAAGGTAGCTTTTGGGATACTGAAGGATACTCAGAAAAGGATACTCAGGAAAGATACTCCCCCACTGTAGGGGATTCTTTGTTCTCTTACTATGACATAGAAAAACTATGACAGCTCAAATAAAACCTGAGAGTGATAAAAGGACAGAAGTTGGTAGCTTTACACATAATACACCCCATTTATGCCAGAAAGACCTGTAGACAGAACAATGATCATATATGACTCTTTTTGTAGCTGTAGATGTCTATGTTCACTGCAGGGGTGTTGGACTAGATGACCTTTAAAAGTCCCATCAAAATCAAACCATTCTATGATTCCGTGGTTCTCCAAACTTTCATTTTTATAACTCAAAGTCAACAGTTATGTTTTACTTCAGTAAGGATTAACCTGATGGAGTCCAGATTGAATTCCTCATTGGAGATCAATTCGTTTGCTGAGATTCAGAAAGATGCATGAATATCACCTAGTAATGTAGTGCAGGAGGCAAGGACGTACATGCCTATATATATCTTTGATAATCCTGTTACTGTGAACTTCTTGGGGCAGAGGCTGTCGGTATATAAATACAAAAGGACAGCAGTCATGACCCTGAATGGCTTTTAAGTATTTACATAATGAAATAATAGACAACAGGTTTCAGAAAGGCAGACTGCTTATTTTGGAGGCTGGTTTGTTACACTGATTTGTTGTGTCATCACCTTGTCTTGTAAGTCCTCAGTGTTTGCATCAGCCTCTTATCTTGAGTTATAAAGAGATTATAAACTCCTCATTGCAAGGGAGATTTTTATTATACTCATATAAATGGCAATAATTGCACTGGAGCCAAGCAATTCCACTGCTTACTTCATTAATGTAAACAGCAACAATAATAATGATGAATTGATTAAGGCCCATACAATGAAAAGTAACTCAGAGTAGTAGGCTGAATTTAAAGCTGAGATAAAAAAAAGAATCTGATTATCAGCTCAAATTCCTTACAGAGCCATTGATCAGGATGTGGCAAAGTCTCCCAGGAAAAGCAGTAAGAGAGCTATTATTTGTGTTCTTCATGATCAAATAGGATAATATTCAGTGTGGAACAATCAATCCTGCATTAGTCCAGTGGGAATGGACAATAATTTCCATCTGTAATTTCAATTTCAAACAGAGTGTATTACCTTGTACAGAAAGTGCATAAATTTGGAAAGTTTTATATATGAGGGCTGCTCTGAAGGTGATGTCTCCTATTTTATTATGTGGGCCCATAGCATCAGAAGTGGATGTTGGTGGTGTGGCATTTGGAGTTGAACCTTCCTTCCAATATTCCACTACATTTTGTTGCCATGTGACAGATGGCAGCAAAGGGCAGTCTGACAAAATGGCATCTGTCATGGAAGTATGTATGAAGCAAAGGGATGTCACTGAATTCCTCCTGCCAGTGAAATAACACCCACTGACATTAATCAGAATTTAGTGAATATTTCTGAAGACCAAACAGTGGATGTCAGCACAGTGAGGTACTGGGTGGTGGGTTTCAGAAGTGTTTCCCTGGAAATATATAGGAGAGATTACTTTCAGAGCAACCTACATAACTCCTTAGACAGCAGAGATTTGAGGGGAATGAGAGGAGAAGAGAACAGAAGAGACAGGTGGTGCCAAGAACTCCTTGGTTGTCCATGCCTGGATCCTTTGGTAGTTGACCAGAACCCCCTGGAATCCTATAGAGAAGTCTTTTACTAATTTTGTAATAACAGCATTGAGTTTGTCAGTGATCAGACCTCAGACTTTTTGTCTAAGCAATATAAAAAACCAGCAAAGTGATGAAAAAAGCAGGGACTCAGCTTAAAGGAAACAAAAGACAGGAAGCAGTAGACTGGCCAAGAAAGTAATCATCATGAGAAAAGATAGGCAAAAAAATTAATTAATTAATTAATTAATTAATTAATTAAACTACACTGAGGCTAAGGTGAAAAGATGTGAAAAACAAACACATCATGTGAAGCTTTAGAAGCATAAAGCAGCCCTTCATGAGATGGAAAAAGCTGCAACATGCATTTTCAAAGGCCTTTGGGGCTCATGCTGAGAAGCTATCTCCTGTTCACCCAGATGTAAACCAAGCCCTTCTAGTGAAGTAAAGGGATACTGATCAAGAACATGGATGTTTGGCAGTCAGGACCAAGATACAGTTAACCTGAATAAGCACATTTTGCTTGCTGAACATGCAATATATTGATTATGCCTGTTCATTAACAGCTTGATCTGACAAAAAATCAGACAGATGTAATGTGGATGCATCTTGTAGATGCCCAGCTACTCCAACCCTAAACATAAGCTAAGGGATAATGACTCCAGCTAGTTACTACTGTCATGGAAGATGTGCCTAAGACAGCACCAAAAAAATGAAAAAAAAGAATAAGAATACAGTCTCATTCTGTGTGCCTTGTATGGACACTGAGCAGCACAGTGGCCAGCTGCAATTGATGAATTCCAGAAAAAAGGAGAAAGTTTGAGTAACTGAATATATATTTAAGTTTGCTAGCAGTTTTAGTTAATAAGAATATAGATGTTCTTCCCCTTGCAATTGTTTAGCTTGAGTATAATAGCAAAAGTACCCACGTTACAAATCACCAGCATCAACTAATATTTTCAAAAGATAACACAGTAACAGTATCTTTAAACAGAGGAATGGTCATTTTTACAGCCTTCTGCTTTATATAAATGCAGCCTCTGAAGTGGCTCAGTGAGGCCACTGGGGAAGAAACTGTCCAACCTAAATGAGACATCAGTTATAAGTAGTGCTGAACATGGTGTACAGTCTAGGGAGTTAAGTTCATCTCCTGAGTATTTCATAGAAACTGCATCAGGCATCAGAGAGTCCTGCAGGCATTAAGACTGCAAAAGACAGCAATCTTCCTCAAGGGCAAGGAGGAAGATATCTAGAGCTGTGTTATGAGACTGAAATACTAGACTGACAGAAGTTACAGCTCAACAGAGGAGAAACAGTGGTGTTGTGTCAGAGTCTCCATCAGTCGTTACTCAGAGACAAATGGATGGGGCTGTGTCAGAGGAGGGCCATGCTGGGGGGTTAGGAAAAGTTTTTCACCAGAGGGTGGTGGGCATGGAACAGGCTGCCCAGGGCAGTGGGCACAGCCTCAAGCTGATGAAGTTCAAGGAACTTTTGGGCGCCATTCTCAGACATAGGGTTTGGATTTTGGCTGGTCCTGCATGGAGCCAGGACTTAGTGATTTTTGTGGGTCCCTTCCAATTCGGGATATTCTGCGATTCCATTGTTTGTAAAAACAAAACACCAGTAAATTAATAGGCTGAGGATAACAAAGTTGATTTTTGGTCTGCTTAATTCATGTGCACTTAGTGAGCCAAAGTATGTGGTATGCAATTAGCCTTTCCATTCAGTGAGAGCTTTCTTGTTCAAAGGCTTTGGGAGCTATTCTGTGTAAGAACTCCAGGTTTTTAAGCACACTTGAAATAAACTTCCGAAAAATGCAGTGTCTGATTTATTGCAGCCTGTGATCACATAAAGACTGAAGTTAGTTAAAAAGAGTTTGATAGAACCATACAATCATAGAATCTCTCAGATTGGAAAAGACCTTCAAGATCATCAAGTCCAGTCACAACCTAACCTTACTGCCCTAACAAACCTCTGTAAATGATGTCTCTGAGCACCACATCCAAATACTTTATTGGGTTTGAAATTCACAGGAAGTTACTACTTTTTGATACAAAGAAATGTAAGACGAACCACGGGATTTTGTTACAGTGTGCACAAGTTTATTACAGAAGAAGCTGAAATTAGTGCTAAAAGTAGTGGAAAGCACAACAGTGTAGAATAAAATTCTAGCAACATTTTTTAAGCACTGCAAACCTCATAATTAGAATGCTGGAGCTGGTCTTTAGCAGTGATTGAAGACTACAGTCAGACACTTGGAAAGCATGGAGATGATAAAAACTTCATGCTGATCCAATGGCTGGGAAAGATAAAGAGTAAAGAACCGGGCTCAAGCAGCAAAAGAGCAGCCAAGGAGCAGCCAGCTGTGATGTGAACCCCAGGGAGGTTTGGAAAAACAGCCAGGATGATACATGAGGTGGGAAACGTCAGCTCTAATCAGATGGTTAGGAGCTGCCTGTGGCAACAACCCAAGTATCTCCTTCTAGAGCCAGCTCAGAAGGTTTTGGAATTGAACTCTTGCCATATGTATCACAGTAAAGCGATGTAGCCCAGTAGCTATGATCTCTGCTATTACTACTTAAAGGTCACAATATTTGCCTTGATCTGACAGTCAAGGTTGAGTCAGACCACACTGAGGATTTGCCTCTACTTACCTAGGTTGAGCTGATTTTAACTCTTGTTATGACTGCAACTATCTAGCAGTCATATAATTGGCCTGCATCTGTTTGAGAAGAGAGGATGAAGAGAACCTCATCACAAATATCACACTGCACACGGCAGATATCTCAGGATTTGGACAAGTCATAAAATCCCATCCTCAATTCTTCTTGAGGAACAGATCAGCTGCAGGATACAGCCAGATGCTGGAAGAGTGAGTAGTACCAAAGGAAAAAGGAGGAAAATTAAGATTTTTTTTTAAAGTGAAACTTTCATGTATTAATTTAGGCTATGTGTGCATATTTTCATAGTTGAACACCTCTAGGTGTAAGAGGTCACCTAGCCTTCTTGTGTACAGACTGTAACTACTCTGTAATTCAGCACATTGCATACAATGGATGCAGTTAAAATTATTTATCATCTTCATAAGACAATCCACTCTGACTGGATTTGTCCCTGATGTCTACAGTGATGCATAATGGAAGGCAGAAAACAATACACGTCTGCTTGGGTGAGCATCTGCTTACAAAAGGATGTTGTTCGAAGACAGTGAGATCTGAGGGTGTCTGAAAATTGTGCATGATTTTATTTATTGTATGAAAGCAACCCATAAGCTGATTATCCTTCATCTCCATTGTGTTTCAGACTGCACTGTCATTTCTCTTTTGCTTTTCCTTTATTCTTCATCCATACTAAAGATTTTGTATATTATTTCTTTTGAAAACACAAATCCTCTTTTTTTTCTTTGTATCTTTCCTCAATAGACACCTTCTTTCCCCCACACACACAATTTTTGAGAACTGTGCTTGAGGCAATTTCTGTTTTTTTTTTGAAGTCAGGTGAAAAGTCAGAACAGGGCACTGGCATAAGGAGCTTAAGCATGACTGTACTATTGTTGCTGTATGTGCACACGAAAGCATTTAAGAGAGAGCTCATGAGTTGATGGTTCATGGGGAAGTGGGCTGCAACTGATATTTTTGAAACAGTCAAGTTAGGTAGATCCTTCAGGAAACCTCCGCGCCGCTTTGAGATGTTGGCTGCCATTTTGGAATACTTTTTGGATCTTTTAAGTTTATACTTTTAAAAAGATTCATGTCAATTTACACAAGCAGGGGTTCCCCAAAGGTCTTGATAATTTATTGGTGCATACCAATACTTTTTATTTGACTCCTAAGGCAGAAAGTCCATTCCAAGCTCTGATTTAGGAAGATTTTAAACATAATGTTGGCTCACAAGCTACTTTACTCCCATGAGCTGCATTACACTGAGCAAGTGATTTAAAAAAATGTGCTTGGGCATTTCTTGCTTGTTTTTAGTATTGAAATCTCCCAGCCCAAGCAATTCAATGGCAAACTGTAAGCACATATCTCTTCTCTGTTCATTTCAGTGCAACTCAGCGGACTTCAAACAGCAGCAAAATACATCAGAGATAGAAAAGTATTTTAAATGAAAAAAAATCAATAGCCCATTTTCATGGGGGTCAAAAGAGTTGTCCTATGGACCATGTTATCTATGGAGTGGATCCTGACACAGTCAATGGAAAGTCCTGAAGTAGAATGATAACTAATTTAAACAACTAATTCCTATAGTGCTGTGCTTAGCTCATATATTTGTGTTTACAGCCAAATGAAGAGTTTATTGTTTTATTTTCTGGAAAAGTTTTATTTCCTCTTTTTATTATGTTTTGGTTTGTAATTTTTAAGAGACAGTGGGACTGCTGAATCTTTCCATACATTACCCATCACAGTCTGCAAGGACCTATCCTGAGCAGTATTAGCATTGCCTTATATGTGAGGTGCTGCCCTGTATGATGAGAACTGATCAGTGTGAATTTTTCATTCCCATTTTGTTTTCTGCATGGACAACAAACACAACAGTATCACTGCTCTGGATTTTCCCATAGAGTTTTCTCATGCAGTTACATGAAATCATGTTCACAGGTATAATCTGAATGATATTAAGGGTCCATATACTATCTCCATTGTCCCACACTGTTTGGATGTAGTTTGTCATGGTTACTGCTGAAAGCTGATGCTCATATACAGCTCCCACAGGTTCCTTCCCTGTGACAGTCCTGCTACCCAGTGCTAGATGGGAAACATGCATAACACAGCAGGGATGATGATACACTCACTATATTCACAGGGGAGATGGTTCCCCTCCAAGAATAAACAGCATAGTGAGAAAACATCAGATATTCATTTCTGACCTTGAAAATATTCCCCTACAAAAACAATACAGTCCCTGCAGATTGAGGTCATGGACTCTTGAAAGCAGAAGAGAGTTGCTGGTGTCACCAATGATACCAGTAACATTGGTAATCACCCTTTGTTGTAAAATTGAATTCTCTCATTGTACAATCCGATAGTGACCATCAGTTTGGGGTGGGTAGATGCAGTGCTCAAATCCTTATCTTTATGCTGTAACCTCCAATCCTGCTAACAGATTATCTTCTACACCAGACCCTCTGAAATATATCTTGCTCTAGTTAATCCAACAGCATCAGGGAATATTTTGGGACACTGGCAGTAGGATGTCTGTGCTACTGAAATGCCGGAATGTTCCCTGACATGCTTTCAGTTCATAGTTCCTGGGAACAGACCGGCACTTAGGAACTTCCAGGAACCATGGAAAGGAGGCAGTTTGCATGCAGTCACTCTCTTTTGCAGGCTATACACTGTATTATTATAGATATAGTGTGCAACAGGTACATTGGCTTCAGTATACAAGCACATATCCAAGCATGTTTCATTTTTTTAAGTATAGGTTTAACCTGATTAAATTCCAGTGTCTTTCTGAAGTTCTCCTCTTTCTTCCCTGGATGCCTGGAACTGAACTTATCAGTTCCTGCTGGTTCTGATAAAAGCCCCAATCCTCTTGTTCAAGATAGAAAAGAAATATAAATAGGCTCAGGAACCACTCTATGGTTACTGCACAACGACCAAAATTGTGAATAGCTTTGCTTTCCACAATAGAACAGCTTAGAAAAACATCAAAGACAACAGTGCTGTGAACATGACATTCATCAGTACATCTGATGAGAGGCTGAAAATAAGCACTGATGCTGCCAAGCATCTGTCAGTGGATGTGTTGGCATTGGCCAAATGGGAAACATCTGCATCTTATCCAATCAAGAATCTGTAAAATAGATGAAAAAGTGTGGGAATTAGGATTTTCTCTTGGAAAAAAAAACAAGAACAAAAAGACTGGTGAGTGCTACATTGTACAGTTCAGAGTGTCAAGCAATTCTGATGGCTTCCTATGGGGCTATATTATAGAATAGCAAAAATTGCAGATGGTGGGACACAGGAAGAAAACACTGAAGTAGGGCTAGAGATAAGTGAGACTGCATGGCATCTAAGCAGCTCCAAATTAACAGTCAAAAATTATGTCATGTTGTTGCTGATTTAAGAACTTGCTGGAAGGAACAAGCCTGAACTCGGATGCTCATTTTGCCATGCAGAATGCCACCAACTAACAATGAGGACTCACTGACTATGGCTTCATCCAGTGCCTCCAAAAGGGCTGCTGACAGGGACCAACTGTTCATAGGATGCAAGATCCTAGGAATCCATAGGATGCATCCTAGGAAGCCAGATCCTAAGAATTTGCTGACTTTAGCTTAAGACAGCAGCTTTGCTGTCACAGTGGAGACACAGCATAGATCTGGTCTGTTCCCACGTTTCACTTTGCAATTTCAAGGTATCCAACACTACTGTTGTTCAGTGGTTGGTCAGAGCCCACTCTCACAGAATCTGCTAACTGAACTAATTTAGCCATACTTCTATTGTCACCATCTTCTAAATCTGGTAGGCTGGCTGTCTCTTGCCTTCAATTCCTCAATTTCTTCTTTTTCCTTTTGGGCACATACCTGAAATTGGTCTCAAAGGACCAGGCTTAGGGCTGTTGTTAAGATGTCCAATGTGACTGAAATTTCTTAACAAGAATCTTCTGCTCTGTGTAGTGAATGTGCAGATTCGGTGCATCCAAGTGGGTGGACATGGCTTTAAATGCCTCTTGCTTCACATATCTCACTGTAAGCTACTAGACTGATCTTATGCAGTCTACCATACACTATGATTTGGATGTAATATAACTGACAGGGCTTTCAGAAATTCAGCATACCCAGAAAGCTCATCAGTGATCCTGATTGCAATCAGATAATTTCTACTTACATGCTGAAACACAGATTTCAGGGCACTGTTTTAGGAAAAAGCACCTTAATTTAGGGACAGGCATGATTTGAGGATTTTAGGGCTGTAAGCAGTAGTGCAAAGAGTAAAGAGAATGTAAAGGACAAGCATGGAACATAAGAAAATGAAAAAAGAATGAAAGGACGAAAAAGCACATAAAAAGAGAAAGAGAACTCACTTTAAGATGAATACTTAAGCTGAAGTAAGAATATTACTCTGTAATGGAGCAAGAAGAATATAACACATTTGGATTGGATTGGGTTGGTTATGTTTTAGCACACAGAATCTGCTCAGGACCCATCTCCCTACGTGACCACAGAAACGTTGACACTAATCTCCCACTTCTTATCTCTTTGTAGGGTTTTTAAGCCTTTCAGTCCTCCTGAGTGAGCAAGGTGCCTCTTCTCCACACATACTGCCAGAGCAGCTTGAACACCACGGAGTAACCAGATCTCACTGATAGGAGGAGACACTTCTCAGGAATGATAAAACAACGAGCAAAGCAAGAACTGCAAGGCCGGCTGGTAAGTGTGGGAGCTGTTCTAATTGATTGTACAGTGGTCTGCTTAGGGAAATGGGTAGAAATTTTTATGTTCTAAAATGTTACTCTGAGGAAGCTGAGAACAAGCCATGAGCTAATGCTAAACAGGGGAATCAATGCAGAGCACAGGTGGAATGAGACTATTAATAAGACCAAACTTGAGAGCAAATCAAATGAAAAAAGATATTTTCTAGTTGAGGCTTTGCACGGGCTCTTGATTGTCATAGTAATGGCAATGGAGAGATTAGAAACAATGAACTGTTCAGCAAGAACTGACTTGAAATCTTTCCTCATGGAAGCATCTATTTAAAAGAATGGCTGAAACTGAACAATTTCTAGAAGAGATGTGTTGCGAGATATTTAACAGAGGCTGTAAACCAGAATAAGTGATCTTCAGAGCATGTAAAAATTGAAACTAAGTCTGGCAAAAGATGCCAAATAAGCTTGCAGTCTCAGTTCTAGCCGTTGCTAGCAGGGTGACAATTTCACACAGTTTGAAATGGACTGTCAGGGCTCTACAGATACTTTCATCTGCAGGGACCATTTTCAGTTATGCAACATTCCCATTCGGTCTTTGGTATCTTTCTCTGAAGAACTGCTTACTGTCAATTTTAAAGGAAAAAAACCTGTAGATGTGAATGAAAATGAAGCACTTCCCCCCAGCGCTGCTGCATCTCTGACAATGTCTATTCTTCCTCCTCAGTCTTCTAGGATGGGTGCCCAACTCTGGAGACCTGTACAAAACTAGATGTAATTTTTAACTGATAGCAGTAAAACCTTTTCACATTCCTTCTTATTACATTTCTTAGAATTCTGTCTATACATAAAGCATGTTTATAGCTTTTCCTGAAAAATGTTCCTTCTCTGGTGAAATCCCTAGTGTCTTCTGATAGATTAGAAAATCACTACTACTAAAATAGACTCATTTATCCAGTCACATAAGGAGCTCTGAAGCCAAGATACAAAATAACAGCCACCATCAGCTTTTCACTGCTGGGGAAAGGTTCCAGGAGAATTTTAAGCCTGATTTGCCTAATTTCCTTAAGGAGATCTAGAAGATCCAAGGATTGAACAAGGCGATTAATGGGAAACAGATGAAACTGCTGGTCTTATTCCTATATGTGAAGGCATCTAAATGGGGAAAAGCCCAAAGGAAGAATATTAGGCTCAGGGAATTTGTAAGCTTGGTTCTTAGTGGGTAGTTTTTCAAATGAGGAAAGCACTTCAGATGCCTGTTGGAGAAATGGGGAAAAAGCTGACATTTCTGTTCTGCTATTAGAGATGCTAGTCATGCTGCTTTCCTAGCACGTTGGTGCTATAAAATTCTGGAACAGCACACAAAAATATGGAAGGGCAAGAGGTATGATGCTGAGAGTGAAACTGTGTAGCACAGAGCGCAGGGCACGTTCTCTTCCTGAGCAATGCAAACCTTTTATAGCTCATTAGGACAAAGAAATCTTCAGGGCCATGCTGTGAGACATACTGTGCCTGTTGGTGACTTTGCAGGTGTGTGGTACTCTGTAGCTTCTTGGATGAGACCAGAGCAGACTGTTTGTGCCTCAGTCACACTGTGAGGCCAGCTTTGCTGCTGCTGTCACAGAATAGAAATGACAACAGAGTTCTAGGAACATTTCCTACAAGTCTCTGACAGAAGCAAGAGAACATTAAACAGGAGCAACACACACTTTCCAATCAGTACCTTGGTTTTATGACAGGATGTTTGATGCTACTCTTCAGGCTATGGAGATGTTTATTTAGTCCTCTTTCCATGCAGGAACCACACTAAGAGTAGTTGGTTTTATTTTACTTTTCTCTTGAGGCAGAGCACTTGGTTGAGCTGAGTTTCTGTTGATTCCCTACAACTTTCTGGAAACTGCAATGAGAAACTGCAATGAGAGAGAGGAACAAATGACTTGCAGCACATCAGGAGGACTTGATTTGTCATTATTTAAAACTCATATGTGCAGCTTAATCCCAATTTTGATCTAAAAGGGCAATAGAAAATAAAATCCCTGCATGTTCACCTTACATCTTACACACATCTCCGGTACACAAAATGCTACTCATTGGTCTGATATGGCTAAAGATTGTCTCAAATGATGATGCCGATAGCCTCTTCGTATCCTCTATAATTCCTTCACCCTTTCTGGAAGGAAATGCTTACAAACAGCCCTGAGCAGGAGGTTTATGGAGGATGATATGATACGCATGCTACCAATTGTCCTATCCAAGAAAAAATGTGCACAGCATCCAGTTTCCAAATATAGATAGTATGGTGACTTGAAAAGGATTGAAAATGAGTAATAATTCAGTCCTGAAGTAAACCATTTTACAGAAGCATAGAATCATTAAGGTTGGAAAAGACCACTAGGATCTAAGTCCAACTGTTGACCCATCACCACCAAGACCTCTAAACCATGTCCCTCACTGCCACATCTGCATGTTTCTGGAAAACTTCTAGGGATGGTGTCTCCATCACTTGCTTCAGTGAAGCTTCTTTTTAGTAGGTGTGATGTGCCTTCATGAGTCATGCTAGGTTTCTCTATGCCTCTGTATTTTTTTCTGTTGGAAGCAAAACTGATGGGAAGGACAGACGGTGGATAACTCTATTTAATGTGGAAAACTTCCCCTAAAGATGTTCCTAGAGATGGGGAACCAGCATCCACTGCTCCTCCATAGTCAAGGCCCTGCAATGCCTGTTCACACATACTTGTGCCTTTATGCATTACTTATTGGATATCTCATTAACGCTATAGAGGAGCTGATATTTAGTTATTAATCCAGATGTTGAGAAAATAAAGCAAATTGAGCTGAAGCTGATTAGAAAGCACCCCCTATGACCTCTGACCTGTTAAGAAAGTGCTATGTACTAATAGCTTTAACTTCCCTTCCTATTATGCTCTGATAGGATTTGACTTTCAAAGCACTCTGACAAGGTGAGGCAGTAGGCTGGTAAATTGCAATAAGTAACATGGACACAGAGGTTTGGAAGTCCAAAGATACATCCATCTGATGGCTAAGGCAGCAAACTGCATCCCTTGTCTTCCCAGATCTGATGTGGGGAGAGAAACTATCTCCTCCATGAGTGAACTGCAGGAATCAGGAAATTCTGGTGAGACAGAGCAAGGTTTTCAGAAGACTAGAAGATGGTTATGGCATGCTAGGAGGAAGAATCTGGGTGGTCTGGGGTCTTCGGGGGATAGAATTAGTGGTGGGATTTCTTTATGCCGGATATAAAATTGTCAAAGGTGCTTTTGACAGAGCCCAGAGCCCAATTCTACTGATACTAAGTGTGCAATTTTACTTAATGTGGAAAATACATCAGTTTTCCAGAAGCTCGGGAGGATGCAAAACTCTACTAGCAACTTATTTTGCAGCCCTCCATGAATTTCAGAAAAGGGTAGATTCTGTGTTCACCCTTTTCTGCTAAGGGAAATTTGATGGAACTGTTTTCATGTATGCAGTGATCTCCATGTGTCATTATCTAGCTCTGGATCCTTAGCCACAAGGCTTGCCCGTTGGCCACGAGGGATATCAGTGGGAGGCTGCACATATATGATGAGCAGGACAAGTAGAAATTGTGTAGGATTTACAAATAAATGGAGAGGAGGAGAAAGACAATTTATTGTGTGTGCCTGAACTGGATCACTCAGTAAGCTGAGGATGAATATAAAATATGTTTTGCAGAATTGCCAGAAATAGAAGTATTTTTGTCAGATCAAGGTGCTTGTAGCACCAATAGTCAGCAGTTTGGGGAAGTCCAGACTTTGCAACTTTTCCCTCTGGGTGTGGAAATAGTGAATACTGCTGATAGGTAGAAGCTTTTAAAAAGTTTGATCTAAATTCCTGCCACAAGGTGAATGTACAGATCTGAAGAGCCTCATAGAGAAGAGTCTTGAAGGTTCTGAATAGTATTTAATGGAGTTGTTATCAAGAGACTGCCTTCATTATTATTCAGCCTCATATTAGTTTGGGTGATGAATACATGCAATTTGTAAAAGTGTGTGCAGGAATTTGGAAAACATCTCCTTCCATTCTGTTGAAATCAAGGGGAGTGTCTTCACTCATTGCAAATGGTTTATGATCAAGCTCTTTTAGGACCTGTAGGGATTCCTCAGGGCCTGTCTGTGCATTGCCACATACATATTGCCTTCTGGTGACACTAAGGACCTTGTTGAATCAGTTCTAGCAACCACCAAAGTTAATGGAAAGATTCCCACTCAGCAATTTCTGAGTGCTGTGCTGCACACCTCAGCACAGAACAATTACATACTAGGAAGGTCTCTGATAATATAATGAACTTGACTAGTGGCATAGAGCACACTGGAGAAGCTTGTGACACTTACTCTTTAGCTGCAAACCATCCTCTACAGAAGAACTGGAGTTATGTCCATGCCCAGCCAGTCAAGTAGCAGGAGAAGGGCTTGTGAATTCACCAAGGAGCAACATCTGACCATGAGCCAGCAGTATGCAATTGTGGCCAAGAAGGCCAACAGTACCCTGGGATGCATTAAAAAGAGCATGGCCAGCAGGTCGAGGTTGGTGATCCTCTCACTCTAACCTGCCCTGGTGACTCCACATCTGGAATATTGTGTCCAGTTCCGGGCTCCTCCATTCAAGAAAAAAAGGGAAATTCTTGAGAGAGTCCAGAGGAAGGCCATAAAGATGATGAGGGCTCTGGAGCATCTCCCTTATGAGGAAAGGCTGAGAGATCTGGGACTATTCAGTTTGTAGAAGAGAAAAAAAAAGGGGGATCTCATCAGTGAAATATGCATAAAGGGTGGGAGTCAAGTGGATGGATGGGGCCAGACTCTTTTCAGTGGTGCTCAGTGACAGAACAACTGGGGAAATGGGAACAAACTGGAAGATAGGAAGTTCCACATTGACACGAAAAAATCTTCTATTCTATGGAAGTGACAGAGTACTGGAACAGGCTGCCCTAAGAGGTTTTGGTGTCTCCTTCTCTGGAGATATTCAAAAACC